GATTTATTTTGGTTTTCAATTGAAAATTATGAGCCCAAAGTTTCGGGGGAATTATGCATGGCTACATCACTAGAAAAAGACATAATTGTTCTCAATACTTAGTTTGGAATTTCGTTGCCTTTTTTTTTCTGTTTTTGTGCGATATAGCCACATAAGTACTTGCAATTAAGTGAACACAGAAGATATTTTCAAAGAAACGACATTTGGATCACAACAAACACCAGAAGATTATATTATTCGTTGGAGCGGTAGTATTGGTGAATAATAAGCCTTTCTAGTAAGGATGAATCGGGGACTAATGGGACTTATTGTTTTCTAAATTTTTTGAATTCTTATATAATTTATATAGTTATTTTTATCCTCTAAAATTTTCTGTCCATTCCTACTTGCTAGCTAATCTCGAGCCGATTTTTTTACTGTTTTTTTTAAAGATTTTTAGATGTTAAAACCTCATTACCAAGTTCTTTGCCCAAAAAAATGGCCCTGTTGAAGAATCGAGAAAAGTAAACGAAAGAATACAAGAATTTTAACGAGGATCGGTAATGTGCTTACGTCCTCGGTGCCTAGGCGGCGCTAGAAATTTTATTCAATGTCTCATAGGTTTAGGTTACATCTCTATTTATAATAGAAAATCCTGACAAATATCTTACAGGTATATTTATGAGCCATACCTTACAAATCTCCACCTTAGCGAATATCCTACCCTTTAGGAAACATTCAATGTGGGTTGGGTTATCTTACTTCTTTAACAACTCGAAACATTCAACAAGTCCAAGCAATGCTTGAACTTGTATGTCGTAACTGGCTTGGTGAACATATCAGCGGCATTCTCATCAGTATGTACCTTCTGAAACAAAACCTCTCCAGATGCAACCAACTATCTGATCTTGTGAAAATGTACATCAATGTGCTTAGTTCTAGCACGATATACCTGATTCTTAGCCAAGTGAATAGCACTTTGATTTTCGCAAAGCAACTGAACACCACCTTGCTGAACACCCAACTCCTTCACTAAACCAGTGAGCCATAAAGCTTCTTTTGCAGCTTCAGTCGCTGCCATGTATTCAGCTTCAGTTGTAGATAGTGCCACAACAGATTGAACAATAGACTTCCAACAAATAGGTCTTCCACTAAGAGTAAAAACATACCCTGTCGTAGATCTTCTATTATCCAAGTCACCTGCATAGTCTGAATCCACATATCCTACAACCAAAGGATTATCCCGAACAAAACCCATGCCCTATAGTACCCTTTAAGTATCGAAAGATCCACTTGATTACTTCCCAATGTTGCTTACCAGGTTTAGACATGTACTTACAAACTTGATTAACATCATGAGCTAAATCAGGACGAGTACATACCATAACATACATCAAGCAACCAACAACATTAGAATACAGAACCTTTGCCATATCTTCAGCTTCCTTATCTGTTTTCGGGCACTGTTCTGATGAGAGCTTAAAGCGATTCGCCAATGGAGTGCTAACTGGTTTTGCGCTGCTCATCGCAAACCTTTCTAGCATTTTTTCAACATAACCCCGTTGAGATAGCCACAGTTTCCTTGAGTCTCTTTCCCTGCAAATTTCCATTCCAAGAATTTTCTTTGCAGCACCTAAATCTTTCATATCAAATTCCTGACTTGATAAAGTTTTCAAACCAATAATCAAATCGTTTATACCATTGTCTCGGAGACTGTTTCAACCCGTACAAAGATTTCTTCAATCTGCAAACTAAATGCTCGATTCCAGGTTGAGTGAAACCTTCAGGCTGCCGCATGTAGATCTGCTCCTCTAAATCACCATGCAAAAAAACAGTTTTAACATCCATTTGCTCTAAATGCAAATCCCAACTAGCCACCAATGCAAGTACTGCTCAGATTGAAGTGTGACTGACCGCAGAAGAAAAAATTTCATTATAATCAACTCCTTTCTGCTGTGAAAAACCCTTTGCTACCAAACGAGCCTTGAACTTCTCCCCCATTTTTTCTATTACTGCTGGTTTCTTCTTATACACCCATTTGCAACCAATCGACTTCTTACCCTCAGGAAGGGGAACTAACTCCCATGTACGATTCTGATTCAAAGACTCCATCTCCTCATCCATGAAAGCCATCCACTTGTCGTTTTCCTGACTAGTAACTGCATCATGAAAAGTAACCGGATCATCACTGCTAACAGTAAGTGCAAAAGAGACCAAGTCTCCAAAACCCAATCTGTTCGGAGGCTTTATATTTGTCCGTCTCACCCTGTCTCTTGTGAGACTATAATCCTACAAATCATCCGTAGCGGAACCACCAGAAGTCGGTTGAGAAGTTTCTATTTTCTCAATTGGAAACTGCTCGAAATCCACCACTGTTGTGCCTATCTTCTGCTGCAACATGGACTGCTTATCGAAAATAGCATCTCTATTGTTCACAATTTTCTTCGCAACTGGATCCCAGAACTTTAATCCTTTGACACCTTTTTTGTAACCTAGAAAAATGCACTCCTTCGATTTTGCATAAAGTTTGGATCTCTCATCAGCAGGTACATGCACATAAGCAGGACAACCAAAAATCCGTAAGTGATCAAAACTAACTTCATGACCAGTCCATACCTCTTCTGCAACTTTCCCATCCAATGATGCCCTTGGCGATCTATTGATAAGATAGCACGCCATGTTAACAGCCTCAGCCCAGAAGTGTTTGGGAAGCTTCGCATTCAACCGCAAACATCTGGCTCTTTCATTCAACGACATGTTCATCCGTTCCGCAACACCATTCTGTTGTGGTGTCTTGCGCACTGTAAAATGCCTCTTAATCCCGTGATCCTTACAGAAGTTTAGAAATTGTGTATCTGTGTACTCCGTACCATTATCAGACCGCAAACACTTGATTTTTCATCTTGTTTGGTTTTCTACCTCAGCTTTCCACAACTTGAACTTCTCAAAAACGTCGGACTTGTGTTTCAAAAAATACACCCAAACTTTCCGTGAAAAATCGTCAATGAAAGTAACATAATACCTAGATCCACCCAAAGACGATGTCGTGGAAGGCCCCCATACATCAGAGTGCACATAATCAAGAATCCTTTCAGTTGTGTGCTTCGCAGTCTTGAAACGAACTTTAGTCTGTTTACCAAGAACACAATACTTGCAAAAATTGAGCTTACAGCTTTTAACACCATGCAACAAATTTCTTTTATGTAATTCAACCATACCACGTTCACTAAGATGAGCAAGACGCATATGCCACAGTTTGGTTGTATCATCACAGGACTCAACAGAATGAACTCCACCTACAATGGTACTCCCTAACAAACTGTAAATATTCCCTGCAGTCATCTTGCCTTTCATCACAGTCAAAGCACCATTAACAATCTGAATGGTTTCCCTATCCTCATCAGCCTTAGGGATAAAACCATTCTTGTGCAAAGTTCCCTAAGAAATCAAATTCTTCTTCAAATCTGGGATATGCCGAACACCACTCAACGTCCGAACAGAGCCATCATACATCTTAATTCTGACCTCACCAATATCAACAATATTGCAACATCGATCATCACCCAAATAAACAGAACCAGAATTAACCGACCAGTATGTCGAAAACCATTCCCTATTTGGCGTGATGTGATAAGAACATCCTGAATCAAGAATCCAAACATCCGTCAATTGAGTCGTTGAAATAGGAAGCATATCACCCTCACTGCAATTAGAATTGTCATCCTCGACCACATTCACAGACTTGGATGAATCATCACGCTTCTCATCAGTCTTCTTTTTCAACTTCAGACAGTCTCGCTTCATATGTCCCGCCTCCTTGCACTTGTAATAGTGAATTGTCTTCTTATCCCTAGATTTGGATCTGGAATTTCGCTTGCCAGACCCTGCCTTCTCTGTCTTCCGTCCACGGTCTCGATTACCCTTGACATATAAGCTATCGACTTGAGAGCTTTCCCCTGTATTTTACTTCTACTGGTTGTGAGCCAACAAGGCTGCAGTAATCTCCTCAACGTTGATAGTCACTTTTCCATATGTAAGAGTAGTCACCATGTGTTCGTAAGAGGGAGGCAACGAACACAACAGAATCATCGCTCTGTCTTCATCCTCAATTTTCACATCAAGTCGAGCCAAATCAGAAACGATTTGATTGAAGACATTCAAGTGTTGCATCAAATCATGATCGTCCTGCATCTTCAGCCCATACATCCGCTGCTTTAGATACAGTTTTGTCGTTAAGAATTTGGATATAAACTGACTTTCCAACTTCCTCTAAATTTCTTCTGGAGACGATAGATGCATGACGTGATACATGACCTTGTCCGCCAAGCATAATCGTATGGTTCTTGCCGCTCGCTGTTGCAATTCTTCCCAATCTTCCTCCTCCATCGACGCCGGCTTTGTAGGTCGCAAAGCCTTCAGGATCCCCTGCTACGCCAACAGATCATTCACCCTCGTTTGCCATAATTCGAAGTTACCCTGACCATCCCCTGTCCTCTTTACCGGTATATTTATGAATCATACCTTACAGGCCCCAATTTTACTTTTTAAATAGTGAAAAAAAGTTTTTGAAATTTCAAACCATGTAAGCGGGTCTTGTGGGGGAGAAAAGCCTTGGGATTTGCTTGCTTCCAAAATCCAAAAGATTCCCGGTCATGCCCTAAGATTCCAACCCTTATTTAATTATGTAGCAAATTCAAAGAAATTAATGTCATTATGACCTTAATTACAATGATAATACAGGCTAAGCCTAAATATAAGGGTACATTCAAGAACAAATGATTTAAGATCACTTACCAGTCACGTTGGTTGGTGCAAGTGAAACCAAAGAAGGAGTTATCGAATTCGAAAATCCATGGAAAAAGACAAAATGCAAGAGTCGTCCAAAATCTGCAAAGTGGATGGCAATGCTTTAAATAACATAAAAGTCGGGTGGCAAATTGGTAATCAAGACCCTTTATAAACTCCATATGAGAACGTGGTTCATGATTACCCTACAACACCAACAAAAATACAAAATAAAAATGGAGGTTGGTCCTTCTTCTTCCTTATGCTCCATGAAAATAAAAACTCAAATCCTCACCCTTGTCTATGCTCACGTTTGTCGTCTAATCCGAGCAATTTCGAAAGCAAAGTCTACTTTCCTTCAAATTTGTAAACAAAACAAACCTATACGATTCTTGATTTCCAGCTCAAAGACCACAAAAAACAAGCAAAAGAAGCTCTTCTTTGGTTCGTTTAGGCTACACTACAACTGGTGTTCTTCCCATGTTACACCAGTTCCGGTTCCGGTACTCGAAGGCTGCACCGCGACTCATTCGTACTACGATTCAGTGATTCCAGCAGGTGAGCAATGTGAGGAGGATACGGTGGAGTCTGAACTTTCAGGTTACCTTCAATGGCTAGAAGAAAAGAAGGGTAATAGGAATTGTACGGCCGAGACGGATCTCAATGAGATTGATAAGCTGGCAGAAATGTTTATAGCCGATTGTCATGAAAAGTTTAGGTTGGAGAAGCAAGAGTCTGACAGGAGATTCCAGGAAATGATGGCTAGAAGCATGTGAAGTTTTTTCTTCTTCTTCTTCTTAATTATTACTTCATCATCTTCTTTGTTTTGCTAGCCTAAGCTTTTTTGTACGTGGTTTTCTTTCCACTTTCAAGATCATGTATAATTAGTGGGAATAATCTTAACAAATTCAGTAAAACTTTCCGGATTTTTATGGTTTCTTTCTTTGAGACGGCTGGAAGATGAATGTTCTATTCTGTAGCTATGGCCAGAAGAAATATATTTATGATGAAAGATCAATATAGATAGTATTTTTGAAAGTAGATATACAAGAATACAAAAAGTTTTATGAAGAGTGGATATAACACAATCACCAAAAATGAACAATTAATAAAAAAAAAATTAAATTTTAAGATAAACACACATCCACTCTAGACTTACTATAGATCTGCTACTGTATAGATGCACATCCACTTTATAAAATATATTATTATGTTAATTTGGGATCAGTAATTTCAACGTCGAGTTGTTGCACTTCCACCAATGCAATTAAGCCAAGTTTTTCAACCCAACATATGCAAATATATATAATATAGATTGGCCAACCTGTGTAACAACCGTGAAGATCTGAAATAAATTATTTAACCAGATCCCAATCAGGTCATTTCGGTGCTTCAATTATTGTGAGGGGAAGTGTAGTAGATTCATGATTTCCTTTCCTGGTCATCAAAACTAGGTTTGCTCCAACAAATATCTCACGATGACACCAATACATTTATCCCTTTATTGACTTATAAAGCCCGCCGTCTCGCTATTTGTGCTAATCATTTTGTTTATCTATAAACCAAATTGCACCGAGCAAAGGGAAGCTTTGGTTCGAAAACAACTGTTCCACCGAGCCACAGGTGTAACCTCATATAGTCATATTACATTTGTTGATAACAAAAGTGTAATTCTTCGGATTATTCCTTTTGGTTTAAGCGAGAATCGCGATCGATTCTTCTAATAAACTGAAAAAATCATATATGATGTGAAAAAAAAAATCGAAAGAGAAAAAGAGAATTTATGATTTTTCTCTAGTCATATATGATGATTTATGTATTGATCTTTAGTGTTGGTGTCAAATCTAGGATCATGATGATTATCCATATACTAGCATAACTCATAGATATAATTGTTAAATAATATATTTAACAGATCATATAGATTAGTCAGTGATCATATCAAAAAAATGCAGCTGTCTAGAGGATATTGAGCTTCGGAGATTTTGTAGAATTCCGAAAACCTCAACTGGTAAAAAATCATAATTAGATAGTGGTAGATTCGAAAATATTTTTGATGTTGGACATATATATTAACAACATATAATTTTTTATACAGACATGGACAAATAAAATTTCAGAATAGATATACTTAAAAAATATATATTACTAAAAAAATTCAAATTTCAATATGAACACGTGTCCAATATTCACCTTTACTCGAACGCAAATCTACCATTAATAGAAGATGTATGATTTATGAAAGAATCCAAAGAATATAACAATGAAAGTATGACTTGTAGAAGAGGTCCAGAAAATATAAAACAAGATTATATTACAATTGTTTTGATTTTTAGCTGAGGCCTGCAAAAGATGTATTCTAGAATTCATACTAAGTTTTAAAGATTCTGGAAACATTGTATTGGAAAAATGATCATAAAGTGAAAGCGATGGAGAAAGCCCATTTTCCTAAAGAATGACACATTATTTGATCTTTCCAATGACCATATGCCGTATAATGTTCCATGTTCTAATTCCTTTACACCTAATTTTTACGAGGTCAAGGCAAATTGGAGGATCCTCTTGATCTTTTCAAAACAATAATATGAAGCACCTCACAAAGAAAGGCAAAGTAAAGGAAAACATTTTTGTTGTGAACCTACCCCAATTCATAAAAATGGAATGATGATGTTGATGAATCTCATATATGATCAAAGGCACGTGTACATGGTCATGGCATGAAGCTGGTGTGACATAAGGTACCCATTGACATAATCAAAACACACATCCTTATTAACTTAATTTTCAATATATAAATCCAACACTGTTGAAGGAAGTGATAAGAAATTTAATGTTTAAAGTCTTGAATTTAAATATTATAAGTGATTTTTATTTATGATCGGATCAAATTCAATTTTGAAATAATCAGTGCTCTATGATTAGATGATATTCTTAGCATTTGCTTATTGATATCTTTGACGAATCGTTATACTCCAAAATTTTAATTCACTCATTCTTTACCTCCTAAACGTGGATCTAATATTTATTTCATCGAAAAATGCCTCGTAATCTAAAAATTTGATGTCCATTCCCCTTTTAGACTGGATGAAAATATGGCCTAAGCATCAAAATGGAAAACTTAAATGTCTCTCAAACAAAAACTTTCATCTTTTAAAGGTTAATTTTACGCATGAGTAGTCTTTAACATGTAATAGTGACAAGCATAGTAATTGTCAAATAAAAATTCTTTTTTTATCAAATGAAATAAATTAAAAATAATATAGAGAAGAAATGATCGATTCATAGGGACTTAAAAATGTTCAATGTCGTATTGTGTTGATCCCGATCCAAGGAAACTACAAGTAAAAATAAAAGAGGGTTTGGTAATATAAAAATTAAATAAAATGAACTAAGTAAAAATGACAGAATGAAAATAAATAGTTAAAAAAATTAATGATGAAAAATAGCCTCAAACTTCGCTTTGCCTTAATTCATTTCGATCGTCGATTTTACTTCGGGATTCATGCCGGTTACAGTCTACAAGGTCCAACCTTTGTAACTTACATTTCTTTATGATAAACTGACATTCCTAATTAAATCTTCGAAATTCAGTCCTTTCTTAGACTAACCACGACTATCGCCATTAGCACCAAAATAACTTTCAACACTAGAAAAGTTCGATTCGGATTATGTTGTCTCAATGAGAATCAAATCCGATCTCAATTTCTCTTAGCGGATCACTGCTAAGTTTGTTAATAGGAAGTCGAATTTACTACCAACAGACTCGTCCTCCCAAATGTAAATCAGAACAACATCCAGACCAATGAACTCTTTTCGAAATGAAAGTGTTAAGATTTTTAAAGGAGATGTCTATTGCCAATCAAAGTTACAGAAAATTAAGAATGATATCCGAAGATATAAAGTTCTTTTCAATTCACACCAAATGAATTGAGTCATCTCTAAGCCATCGGCTAATTAAAAATATAGCTAAGCATGATGAAAATCAAACTTAGCATTTGTTTAAAAAGAAAGTAAAAGGAAAACTAAAGAAAGAAAAAGCAACTTTAATAAAAAAAACCCGAGAATTTTATAAAAAACAAATAGAAGTACATCTCTAGCTTCACCCTAAGGAGCATTTATAGCCTAGAGAATTACAAAGGATAATTTTCTTAAAGATAAAAATAAATTTAAAATAAAACAAATTATCCTAAAGATAGTCCTAGAAATAACCAAAAGATAAATTCCAAATAATAACAAGATAAATACCAAGTATTTTTTTTCAAATTCAAACTTAATTCCTAAACGATTTTCGCTCGTCCTCCTTCTAGATAGCGCTGATTGAACCTTCTAGAAATTGCTCTTGCTACTGATTGTACATTCTAGAAACTGTCACATGAGACCGCGTCATACCCTAAGTCATGCCTATGTATCTAGTCATGATTCCAGAAAATAAAAACCACAAAATCGACCCTTTTAGTGTTGATTTTTTGGAAAGTAAGCTCTTGCACAAAAACGAATCAAAACAGCTTAAATCAACATCATAAAATAGACAACGAGAAATAATTATCAACAAAACATGTGCAAAATAAAATACTAATCAAATTCCCACTCAAGATCACTCAAGCATGCCTTAACTAAGCGTCTTGAAACCTCTATTTACTTTTATTTATTTCTAAGAAAATCAAACAAGTCAAGATCACAACAATTATTTGAATAAAAAATAACAATAAAGTGAAACGCAAAAATAGAAATAATTTAAGCAAAACCATGTGTGTTGAGTGTTGTAGTTATTAGTCACGTGTGGTCAGTTAGGTGGTTAGGCTAGCTGTGCAATTAGTTTGTTAGACTAGCTTCTCATGTCAGTTGTCGACTGATTAAGTGTATTGATGACTATAAAAAAATGCCCTTGTTTCCTAGAATAATTAGTATTATCCCACATGAAATAAAGAAGTTCTTCCTATATTTTGTTCACTATGGATTTCAGAATCGGACCGGTTAGTGAACCGGTTATACTATTGGTTCATTGATTCAATCGGTCGAATCGATTCGACCGGTCGGGACAACGTCATAATTATTTAAAAAATTAAATAAAAATACTAAAAATATTTAATAAAAAATAAATTTTTATATCACAAGTCATATTCAAAGCAAGTCATAACATATATAAGTTAAAAACCATAAAATCAAGTGAAACAAAATGATTCAAATTAACTACAACATAATATTTAAGGTAAAACATATTAAATAATAAATATAATTATATAACTATAATTAAAAAATAAATTTGAGGCTAAAAAAATCATAACAAAATGATATTGTTTGGTTTAATTTTTTTTAAAAACAATCTCACATGGCTAAGAAACATAGAAGAGCATCCCAACTAACTTCTATAAATAATAGAGGTAATTTGACATTCAAAATTATGGAGCTTTTGGTGAGCCTATTATTTCACTTTAATCATGCTCGAAATTTAGGCTTCAATTGAGCTTCTAAATTTTTTTTTGAGTTTAAGCATTTTCGAGTTCAAGTTTTAATATTATATTTCGAGTTTTAGTTGAACTTGATAATTTTTAGATCGTGAGTTTGAGTCGAGTTGAGCTTACTTTTAAAGTTTTCAAGTTCGAGTCGAGCTCAGCAATATTCGAGTTCGACTTGGCTCATTTAACAAACGACGTCGTTTGGTTTAATTTTTAAAAAATAAAAAATAAAATTGGCGGTTTTTTTCGATTTTCAGCTGGTCCGATTCGAACTGTTCAGCGGTTACGACCGATTCACTAGTAACGGTTCAACCGGTGTA